TTTCGGAAAAATTGTCGTTAAAATTTTTTAAATCAATGTATGAAGAATTCAAATTTTCTGCTTTTAGCTTCAACATGTCGAGGGAAGAATATAACAATGAAATCTTTTACTTATGTGTCATCAATACCCGAAATTTTGATTGACGTATCTGGTTCATTGATAAAACTGATAAGATAATAATCTCGAAAATAGTCAGCATTATTTAAGGTTTAAGAGAAATAAGAGAATAAAAAATGTGTGCAATTGTAGAGAAAATAAAATGATTTCATTTTGACTAAAATAATACAAAAGTTTAAAGAAATGCTTAAACAATAAAATTCTGTAGTATTGTTAATTTAGTGCGATGCATACAAAATATTACAGTTATTAATCAATACCCTTTATCTTAAAAATAAATTCACTGTAAACGCTATTATTTTATTTAAAAAAAGATGTGCTGTAAATGATGTCCATTATTTTACGTTAAGATTATGTAAAATTTATATAAATATAAGTAATAAAATTCAATAAACGTTAATAGCAATTAGTACAAAATTATTTGTGACATTATCGTTTAATTGTACATTAATTTTGTGATTTATAGAATTGCTTTAGTACTTCTTAAATAGCCTTATGTTTAACGTAAATATTCGATGTACATATAAGAATGTTAATATTTGTGTTCTTAAATAGAAAAATAAAATCAATTGGTACTTTTATTTATATTTTTATTTAACAGTATATATATTTTCTATGACATTTTTGTGCTACAATTTCTTTGCAACATTTTAATTCGAATACAAAAGTTCAAATTGCTGCATATTCATGAGCAATATGTTCCAGAACTTCATATGTAACGGTGTTGTTCCAAGTCCGAAATTTGAAAATTCTCAAAGGATACACTGCAGTAATGATTCTAGTAATGATATGTATTTCAAAATGAATTATACCATATGTTTAGAAAAAAGAATATATGTACAATATGAAACCAAAGCCGGTAATTGAAAACAAGTGTATGAATAGTATATTTAAATGAAGTTAGTTTACCGCTGTTTAAAGTCGAAATCGAATCGAGTCCTGAATCGTAACATTCGATATAAAATAATCGATAATAAATGATCTCGTAGCACCTTTCACGAGATAGGTTCCTATCTGTGAACTACGCTTTGTGCTTGATTTGTCAATAATCGAGGATAAAGTTAAATGCCGGATTAATTTGTTCGGCATAATTTAAGTAAGTTTGAAAGGGAAAAGAGGAATCTTGAAGCGATGCGGCGTGTCCCAAAGTTGGCTCTTCGGGCCGAAGCCTTTCTTGTTCAAATGAAAGTGTTAATACCGAAGGTTGAAACGGTTTAACCACGGAATACTTTCTTCGAGTACTTTTTAGTACTTTTCCCTGAAATTACACATCTTCTTCAGGGGTTAATTCTCCCCGATAACGCGTTTTTTCAAAAATGGCATCACAGAGTCAAAATGCTATGAATGTAAGTTCAAGTGTTTCACCGGCGAATGGATCATCCGGATTATCGACAACCATCTCAGTCTGCATTACGAAGATGCAGTCTCTTACTTCTACACCATCTGCAGAATCTTATCAACAACACTCATCGCCATCGTCGTCACCATCGCCGTCGCCGACACCGTCGCCGATACAGCAACAACAGCATGAACAGACTCTGCAACAACTTAACAATGTAGAGGCAATTGACAAGAATTCCTCCAACACATTAAAAGTATGTGTTAGGAACTTTTAATTTTTCTAAATGTTTATCATCCAGATATATTTGAGTTGTCAGTTTTATTTATTGATATTAGTGTGTATTGAATTTTATGTTTATTGGCAATAATTCTTTAAATCTTTTTACAGCGTAATCCAAAAATGGAGTTAAGCAAAACTGATTTATTAAAATTATTAGGACGTTTAGAAGGAGAATTACAAGCAAGAGATATTGTTATAGCAGTATTAAAGGTAATTTTATTCTTGTTAATTAACAAAAGAACTTGTATATGTTACTAAAAGAATAACATAAAAGTTCAATATTGGTATAAAATGAATTGTAATATTCTTGATTCTTATGTGTTTTGTAGTCAGAAAAATTGAAAGACCTATTAAATACTAAATATCTGAGTGGAACTTCACCACATGCAGCACTTGCTCGTGATGTATTATTAGTAGGTGGTGTAGGTGAACATGAACCAAATCAAGTAAATGAACAAGCTGCTACTTTAGAAGCTCTTTTAACACAACAAAGATGTATGCAGCTTAAAATGGCTAAGGTTCTTAAAGAAACTGAACTTAGGCACAGAGCAGTATGTATTTTATATGTAATTAATTCATATTAACACTTTATGGTTTACAGTCTATGTTAAACTTTAATTCTTTCTGACTGAAAGAAACTGAGGCTGTAATATGTACTTAGTTCCACTTTTTGAATTGTAAATAAATGCCGATATAAAAACACCTTCTAAAGTTAAAGTATTATGTTTTTTTAAATTAAAAGGTTTACACTTTTCTTTTATTGGTATAATAAACTTGAAAATAATTATCTAAACATAATCCTACATTACATTGAGGGCAGAAATAATAAGTATGGGCCACTTACATCATCCATGTGTCCTTTTCTGATTTGCGATTGTGGCTTTTTAATTATATTTATGATTGCTTTACCATTGGCAAACTGTGATTGTTGCATGTTTTCTTCCAAAAATACTTACATTCAATCATAGATGTGTAAGTTTATTGAGAACATTTTGCTTACATCGCGTCGATACTGTGCCGTCGATTGACTGCAACATCGAAATTGGCGCGACGGCATTATGCAGTCAGTAGACCGCAAGATGTTAACTAAGATTGTAAAGAAATAATATATATTAACATTTAATTTATTTCAGGTTGTCAAGGAATTAGAAGAAGAAAAACGAAAACATGAACATGATACTGCCCAAGGTGATGATATTACATACGGACTTGAAAAAGAAAGGACACGATTGAAGAAAGAATTAGAATTAGAGAAACAAGAAAAAAAAAGACTGGAATTAGAATTAAAAAAATCAAATGAAACTTTAGAAGAAGAGAAAACTCGGCAAAAACAAATAGTACTTCTTTTACTGGCTGAACGTAAAAAAATAATTATGAAATACATAGAAGAAAGGAAGAGATCAGAAGATTTAGCACAGATATTAAGTGAGGAAAAGGTACGAATAGATTCTATGGCTGAAGGTCTTGAAGAAGAAAGTAAGAAATCATTGCAAATGGAAGCAGAATTAGAAAAACAACTTGCACAATTTGACATGGAAAGGCAGCAGTATAAGCAAGCTTTAGCAAAGGAAGAAAAACGGGCTAAAGATCTCGAATTAGAATTAGATAAACTTAGAAGTGAAATAGATGTATGGAAAGAGTCACAAACAAGAGGTTCTCCAAGAGGAGTGGGTACAACTCCGCCGCCTCCTCCAGCCAAACCAGCTAATTTAGTTGCTATGCCTACAGTTAAGCCTGTTAGTGCTCCACAGACAAGTATGTTATACATAATAATTATTGTACAATTACGTATATAAATATAATTTAGTATAGTAAGCACTAGTAGCAAGCAAATAGTAATCTTGATCTATGGTGCTGAATTTGCTAATATAAGATGATTAATAAATTGAGTGTTTCTACAATTATATTTTACATACAGTTAAAGGCACAGTACTGGGCACTGGGACACCAATGGTTAGTAGTAAAGTCGTTCAGCCCACTGCCACGGTATCTAGTGTTCCTGTCAGCGGTCCAAGTAAGAACAGCATGACGTACGATAAAGTTGAAATAGGATATAAACAATTAAAATATTTCGTATATATCTTCTCTAAGAGAATATTCATGACGCGTGATAGATGATGAATTAACAATTTATATTTTGATAATTTATTGAAAAATAAACGGTACTTGTAGATTTGTTTATAAGAGTATCGTAATATATCGAATGTTAATATAAATGTGTTATTTACATTGATTTACTTAATATTGGTTCATACTACTGCAAGATTAATGTAATAAATGACTAAGACATTCCTTTAATTATCATATAAACGAGGAATTGTATATAATTTTTTTGGGATTAATATTGTGTATTATATTTTTAACAAACTTATATACTTATCTATATAATATCTGCTTTTATGAGATAAATTGTTTCACCACTTTTAGTATAGGCATCTTAAAGTAACAATAAAATAGTAATGTTTACAATAATTTCCTTGTAGCTACTGGGATTGCTAGGTCAGTAACTCCTGGACAAGCATTACGCGGGGTCTCGTGTACGTCCAATATTACGTCTTCTGGTGGAGAAACTGCAGCACCTTCAGAAAATCAGGTAAACTACCCCCATTTTTCTCCTCATTCTACTTTAATTTGAAAATATACATTACGTATTTATGCATATATTTATAAAAGAATTATTTTTCATAATATATA